AACTATTGAAAACTTCAACATTAATCGATAACATTATTGCTTTGCTTTTTTTTTCTTACCAAATTGGGAATGTATTTACAATTAAATTAACCACTTCTGACACTTTTTATTTTACATGTGGTCTTTTCAAATCTTAATCTAATCATTTTAGCTGTCTGAAATTTTATTGGTTTTCGTAGCATAGGTGATAGAAGTTTGGCATAAATACGTATGAGTATTATGCAGCTATCATTGAGTTTGCTTGAGAACTTAGATACTGATTATTATGATTTATGCTTTTATTTGAATGATTTACAAGCTTGTGATCGTTAAGCGACCTTCACTAAATGGTTTTAAATAAATGCTGGTAAATTTTTTTTTAAATATCTGCCTTTATTATTATGCCCAAGCGAATTTTTCCATACACAATATAAAGTTTTTGCTATTATTAGTCCTGCTAAATGTTAAGAGAATATGTTGGTAGACTTGTGAGGTTATAACATAATGTGAGAGCTGAAAGGTGCAAGTAACCGCTTGAAACACTATACATATTTAAGAAAATAGAAACATTTTCCTATATATGAACAACAACATGCCATCATATCACTACTAATCTATTTATTTATTAGAAATTCATGCAAATCGCAATTATAGCGAGTTTTCAACGCACTTACGAATATCAGTAATATCATGCAATGATTTGAAAGATTTGGTTTTTTTGTTTTGTTTTTTAACACTGAACAGAATATATTAAGTTAGGCACGGAGTTGTAACACCCAGAAGCAAACATATCTATATAAATCATCGGCGTGAGGAGCTGAATAGATTTAGCCAGATCCGTCAGTCCATCTGTCTTAATATAAGCGTATTCAGTTTTTGAGATATCGATCCGAAGTTAGGTACACGTCCTTTCCTTTGGATATGTGCAGTGTATTATAGCTTCGGTTCAACCGAAGTTAACTTTTTTTTTTCTTATTTCATTAGTTTTTTATCCATCATATAAATCTCATATATTTGAGTTTACTAACTTATTGCGTGGTTAGACCACCTTGTGGATTAATGCACTGGTTTCAATTCATACTCTGTTTATGTATTTTCCACAATTTTATTTTCAACAAACATATTAAGATTGAAATGCTAAAATGCAAATGCTTCTCAGATATATACACACATATACATATACCTATTATATAATATAAATAACTGCTTTTATAATTTCATAATTTTCATTCAAAATAAGCTCATGTGCCGACTGTGCATTTCTACTTATGGCAATTGTAGATAGGCGCCTGTTTATTACGTCATAATGATCACTTCCTTATTGCCTTCCAGCCATAACAAGATCAATGAGCGAGTACAAATACTCTTACCTTTTTTAAATATCAGATTCGTTTACAAAAAGTCTCATAAACTACATCTGTATGTATGCGTGAACTAACACCCATTGCTCTTCTTATTCTCAACTGTGCAACTATTTGCATTTAAATTGTTTGATGTTCAAGCGAATATCAATAAATCGAAAGGCATGTGTATCTACTTATTCATATAAACATAACATATATTTATATACCATATACTGTAACCATACTCTCATACAAATATGTGCCTCAGATCCATAATGCAGACGTCAAAATATGCCGCTTTCATGCGGAAAGAGGACTGCAACCATAAAGTGCATTCGATGTACCTGTTTGTATGTCTTTGTGCATCACCTACTCAACTACTACTTATAATGGGTAACGGGAAAATTTTCATTTCTTGTTATACTTGTAGTTGTTGGTGTGCTTGCGCCATTTGCCATTTGTGACGAGCCCCCAACCACAACGAATATTCGCATTATAAACAAGTGCATGCATACATATGTATATGTATATATATATGTGTAATATGTAATCTTTATGTATGTATATATAAGAGGCGGCCGACTGTCAGACGCCACGTGCGCTTGACCGTAATTTGCATGTGACGAGTGGCGATAGCAGCGACTTTGTGATCCGTGCGCATTTAAAAAAGGAATTGCTGTACATATATACCAATAGGTATTAGACCTTGCAGTGGAGCATCAAACTAGTCTGTAAATATACATTATGTATCAGTTTAGAGCTAGAAATTGTTGTCAGAAAAAAATTGAATAGGATCGAAAAACCTCGCATTTATAGCCATTAAATAATGATCACCAATATAGATTTTGGTCTATTTTTAAACTGGTATGAGATTGGTCAGTTTCTTCTTTATTTTAGGATCTCAGAAATAATAGAAGAATACGTGTTGTAAATCCCTTCTATGCATGCAAAAGTTTCTATAAGGTGTAAATCTCTCTTAAGATATACTTATCTTAAAAAATATTTCTTTTTGTGACAATTTGGACTTTCGAAATTTGAAACTCTTTGCTTTAAATTTTGTCAGGATTACCTTTGGTTCAGTCAAGTTTCATATCGGATTCTTAACAGCCAGCCTTACTCAAATATATACGAAGATGTTATCGCCAATGCGGAGACCTACTATGTAAACCTCTAGAAAACTTTTTTTTCAGATGAGTTAAAGAAATTCTTGCACTACTGGGTAAAGTGTATGGTGTTAGAAGAAGCAAATATTCCGCTCTCGTAACACCGGTTGGTTAAGACTGAAGTGTGTTTTTGTCACTTAGCTGGTGTTATGTTATAAAATGATCTGTTTCGTCGTACATCAACTGATAGTGACGTATTTCAAATGCCGATTTGATAAATTTAATCACTTCTGATGACATATGATTTGGACTAAGTCACAAAAATGACTTGGCGCTTTTCTCTAGTAAATTTTGAGCGAATAAAGTATGTTTATCGCTGATAAATTATTTAAAAACAAAAATTTGTTTTTCGTAATAATTTAATTCCATCGCCAAATTAATATTCTCTGGGTTTCTATCAAACTTTTCTGATATAAGCAACTATTACGGTTCAATGCTTCGGACATTTATATATAATATAATATAATATAGTTTATATATAGGTTTTAAAGATTTTTTCATAGTTGCTCCATCTTGTTTGAGATGAAGTTCTAAACGTCAAGTAGATATCTGCTAGTGTTCCGTTGGACGATTTGCACTCACTATATGTTATATAGCTACAAACATACATATGCATTTTCACAAAAGTGGGCGTGTGTTTTGCGAAAATAAATCGCAAAATTGCAATTTACAAGAGCACATTCTAGTGCAACTGAGAAACTTTCGAAATTTTTACAATTTGTTTACGTCGTTCAATAGAACTGGGTGCATTTAATTTTATGTAACATAAGCAAATAAAAATATATCTTTACACAACTAATGCATTTAAAATATATACAAAAGAATTCTTATTTTCTTAGTAGAGTGCGCAATGCAAAGCAAAATTGTTTCTTCAACTTTGACGTCACTGTGCCTCATCGTTGAAGGTGGGTACGATTTGTGCGTTAATGGAGCAATAATTTCTGCATTTAAGCAGGAAGTAGTAAACTAGAAATTGGCGTCGCGCACCTCGCAGTACTTAAGGGAAGAAGGGTGTGGCGAAAAGTAGTGGGAGTTAACTACACTAACTTCCTGGAAGGTCGATATAGTAAGTGAAAGGAAAAGGATATTTTTGTATTTGCCAACTAAATTTGGTTAAATTTATAGACCTATTTGAAGTTCTATTTATATTCTCTTTGCTCGTGCTTTAGAATACGAATACGAATTATTTGCGTTTATTGATTTTCATATTCCAAATACTCTGTTTCCAATTTCTTTATTTCCACGCTAACTGTTGCATGTGATAAAAAAGGCCAATATTTACTTGGAACGCTACTTGAAATTCGAAACTAGAGTTACAACTAAATAAGTATTGTATTTGTGTGGCTGTGTGATAACTTTTTTGAGGTCAACTCAAAGCCTGGTTAGATTGGCTGAACTGCAAAAAAAAAAAAATTTTTGAATAAAAAACCTTTTGAAGACTTAAGCTAGAAAGCGAAATACGCGGCAGTGAATTTTTCGTATCCATAAGGTATTTTATACACAGAGTTTTCATAGAAAAGCTTAAGCGCACTTTTAGTCAGTGAGTGAAAATGAGATCAGGTAACATAAAATTAAACATCTTTAACTTTAATAAACTTTGTCGTTGCTGGATCCTTACGATACATAAGAATAAGCCATAGATAAAAACAAAAAGTTTTGCAAGCAGTAAAATCTCACATTTTCGCTATAATGACGTCAAATTAGGAATATTTAATAAGAACTCGTTAGTGACAAAAATGTCGACTATTTCTAATTAATTAATTTCCTTCCTACCGAATTCTTTACAAAATTTGTATTTCGACTTAATAAATTCACTTGGTTTAATTTTCAATCTGGTATCTATATTTTGATGGAGATACCGCAGACATAACAAAGTTGCCATTGTTATTAAACGTAACTGCATCTTTTATTGATAATGCCTTCTAAAAGTTTAGGTGTATGTTATGACCAGATCAAAAATTAATTCAAAAAAATGAAAAAATAATCGTCTGATTTATGAACTTATGCAGTAGTAATAGACTCATAAATTGGGGTTTTAAAAACCACAATGTTCTTAGAATTTATCGATATTAATTTCTCTCAGCCTAGTTAGGAATCTTTGATCTTATTTCAAATTACTTTGTCTTCTATCACTGCAGAAAAATTTAAACAATTCTGATTTATCTAACGTATAAGTTCAGATACATATACATATATATATATATAGGTATATATATATACATTCAATAAATAAAATAAATTAAAGCACCAGTGAAATTGAGTGAAGCGGCATAAAATATAATTAGGGAATGAATTAAAACGTTGAATATCAAAACATTTACTTGTCTATCCACATACGTACTTATAACTCTATACATACAAGCAGATGACCACAAATGCACATAAAGTCATATGAGGAAGAGCAAATAGAGCAAATACTAAATAAAAACAAAACATAGACTAAAAAGAAAATCTGCCGAAATGTGGCGACTCAAAAGCGAAATTTAATTGTATGCAAAATATAAATAAAGCGAATGTTTTTAGAAGATTGTTCAGAAAAGCAAAAGAATTGCGTTTTGTCGAAGAGCGTATCTCCTTAATGATATATCTCGAGCGGCCAATACAGCGAGTGTCAGTGAGTTGGCAGTCTTCGCGCGGAATTCGCACCAAACGGTTGAGTCAAAATGATAAATATTTAGGAAAATAAAAATCAGGCAAAAGTTGATTTAAATTTCTTAAGGTTGAAAGTTAAAAATTACTTCAATTGAAATTTCAATAAAGTGTTTATTATTTTAATGAAATTTTAAAGAATTTTGTGCAATAAATTTACAAAATCACCATTAATAAATAATTGTTCGCAGAAAAGAAATATTTATGGATATTGCTGTGCCGAAAGCTGTTTGAAATTCTTTGAAAACTTGGCGTGGTGTTTTCAAAATACCACCCACAAATCGTTTTAAAAGTGTAGAATTTATTTGTTTTGCTGCAAATATCAATTTTTTATCACTCAAAGTTATATAATCGCACTGACAACAAAGCTTTTTCGCTCTTGGACGTCAACAATGGATTCGGATAAAGTTGTGCGCGCCATGGCGCGTTGGTGGCAGGTAATGTGTGAAAAAACGAGAAACGAAAAAAGTAAATAATAATATAGTGAGTATTTGTAAAATCAACATTTCACTGAATGTTTGTTTCATGCTTAGGGAAACAACGCAAAATTGCCTTGACCCAAGTTATATGAAAGGAGATAGTTATAGATACGTTAAATATATACAATAATTGTTATGAAAACTAGACTATATGCGTTTCTGAATAACTTTTCCAGTAAATAAAATTCTGAAGCTTCATATATAAAAAATTTCAGGGAATTCCACACTAAATGTATGCCTTTAAAATTTTATATATGATATTCATTATCTTAGAATCATTCAAAAAGGTGGAATTTTCTTTTTCCGATTTAAACCTCTGTCGTTTTGGGGTTTCAATAGCATATAAGATTTAAATACATATGGAGAATTAGACTATTAGATTAGAATAAAACGAAAAACCCCGGCGTTTCATACTGTACCATATATCTCATACATTTTGCTCAAACTGGTGTTCTCCCTTTTTCTGCTGTTATTCTGAACCAATCTGAAATAACTATGTGTTGTTATACAGTTAGAGATTTGCGCTATATGACAATTATGTTAAAAATGGACATAATGTTTTAGTTTGGTTGTATTTTTTTAAATAAAATCTTAAAATTAAACTGCAGTGTACACATTTCGTAACGTATACTCAAGCATCCAGCATTTTATCCGCCAAAGTATGGCAGCATTTTATAAATTATTTATAGATTTTTAATTTCCAGTCTCTGCAATAACAATATTACATTTCTTTGAATCAGATATAAAACTCTGATTCAATAGATAAATAATTGGTTGGACCTATTAGTGTAGATTTACAACGATACATCCGTATGTCCTTTCACGGAAAAAAAAAAATGTTTAGTCAGACACACCCCAAACGAATAATGTATAAATTTATAATTACTCAGCCGTCATGGGAAACGGTTACACACGTGTCTGCACTTACGTACATGCATGTACATATGCATTCTTATGAGTATGCACGCAGACCAATTACGTGTAAAATGTAAGATGTTTTGATAGAATATTTTCTATTTTTGTTTTAGTTTTAAAAACAACATCAACATTACAGTCAAATCTTCGACTAAAATGACTATGCAGCTGCATTGGAATTTCTCAAAAATGAACCAAATAATTCATCTAGCCAAAAGTTAAATATAAACGTAGCTGTATACACATGCATAATACATTAAGGCGGTTCTAAATATTACTAAACAAAAGGTTTTCCTTAAGCTCTTAGAAAACAAATAATAATAATAATTCATTGTTTAATTTCTGGATTTATTTACGATGTTACGGTAGTGTTAAATATATTGGTGTCGATAATATTATTTTTATTTCATGTCTCCATAGAGATTCCTTTGGACTTAACAAAGATGCATAATCGAGTGGGAGATGGCCCACATATACCTAATAGAATAATTTTTGAACTACTGGCTGACTTTATATCGCATATTTCAGCAAATAAGTAAAATACCTTAGAAAAATTAAAGTATAATATTGGCTATACTATAGTTTAATGCCGAAAATATGTGAAATTGGTTCACAAACTACCCAAACTATCATATACTACATATATTGATTTTCTTTGTTCTAACAAATCGTATGCACCTGAAGGTATTCCCCTGGCTTTGATCCTGGCAAGCTGCAAGAGTATGATATTTTCGGTTACACCCGAACTTAACTCTCCCTTACTTGTTTCAATACAAATCTTCAAATATGCATAATCGAGTGGGAGATGGTGTCTTTTCAGCAAAATTAGATAGATCGTCTTCCGGTTACCAGGCCACTGCAGTGTCTTCCAAGCGGAGATCACAGCAATCAAAGAAAGACTTGTTGTTCTGACAAGGAGTGTGCTCACAACAAGAAGCATATTTATATTATATATACGGATAGCCAAGCGGCTTTGTAATCACTGAAGTGTACTAGGGTTTCATCAAAGATAGTGAAAGAACGTGTTGATCTATTAGAGGATCTAACATCCTACTTCACGATAAACCTACAATAGGTTCCAGAGTTAATATTAAGGAAATACTAGTCCCGGTGGTATCACAATGGACCGCCCATAAGTCTAGGTACGTCGCCAGACAGTCACTTTACCTACCTACCTATCAAAGTATGCCAGATGGCCGGTTCTTTCAGAAAAATTACAGCACTATTTAAAGATTAAGTTGGCTGAATGGCTACTCCTGTTTGTGATTCGACAAGAATTGCTGTTAAGATAGAACAGTTTGCTACTAAAGACCTAAATTTTCTTGCCTTTAAAATGTTATTAAAATAAACTTTGAGATTAAATAAATTATGATATTTTGAAGACCAAAACTCAGTCCACAGCCAAAGTTGTAGTCTTTTTAAGTGAGCAAATTAAACAAAATAAAGCTTTTATTAGAGCTTTCAAAAGCTTTTGTTTTAGTTTCCATAATCATTCATTAGAATTTTCATGAGAATATACGAAATAAGTTTAAAATGTCAAATAGAATTTAGTTCACAGTTCACCCTAGCACACATACACATAAAGGCTTATATATATTCATACATCTATAGGTAACTTTTTGGCGAATGTAGTACATATGTGTACTGAAGATAAATAAACATTGTGTTGGAGGATGCGCACTGCAATTAATGCAAAATCTATAGAGATATGTATGTATATACAAATGTATGCTGATATTTGCAAAATATTTTGCGTATATGGCAAGCTGCCAAAAAACTTCTTATTAAATATTTACAAAATGCTAATGAAAGATACAAATTGCTTTATTTACATATATTTTTCAAACTATTTCTCGATAATTAAGTTTCGAGACGTCCACAAATTTTCACGTTCACCATTCAGGCTTTCGCCTGTTTGCCTCTGTGGCATTTGACACGCCCACAGGGTTTTAAAAATAGCCTAGATAGATGGACTCTTATTTGCATATACTTTTTTTTAGTACATACAAGTATGTATGTGCAACATACCGTACAACCCTTCACTTGCACTTCCTCTTGAATATTTGCCGCTGTAATTGATTGCACTAACGGTAAACGCGGCGAATGTTTGTTGTGATCTTATTGAGGCTGCCAATGCGATTGCTTCGGTGGCGCCGCAGCGACTCTTACGCTAATTCAATGGCACGTGAGGAACGCAGTGAGCGAGTTTAAATTTAGCCGCATCGACTCCCCGGCACTTAGATGACGCGGTGGGCGGGTTGTGAAGCGCACCGTCGGCAGCATGTGATGTACATATATATTTGTATATTTACACATATATGGGCTGTGAGGCGATCAGCTTGCCATCAGCAATTAAAGGAAGAGCGTAAAAGCGAAAACTTACATACAATTCAATCATTTAGTTCAAATATACAACAACAATAAAAAGTGGAAATTTTTGATCGTGTTAAATTAAAAAGTTTCCGACTCAACGAGCGCGTCAATGAACTTGAAGTAGCAAATTCCACAAGTGACAAGTGATTGATATGCCAGCGATATTTTTTATGAAATTAAATATTCTTCAATTGTTGAATTGTGGGCAGTCATGGTTATTTTCCGTTTCTCCGACTCAACCCCCAATTAAATAACTTTCAATTATTTGAATAGACATTTGTTTATTTATTTTATACATATGCACAATAATGCCACACATTATAATTAAAAGTGAAAACATCAATTATTTCATAGACATAATATCGCCTCGCTTCAACATCAAACCAGTGGAGAGAGAGAGAGAGAGAGTGAAGTCGCCTTGTTGTTGCCTAAGTTAATTTAAAAACAATTGGGTATGGTGCCTGCAAATTTCTTTATTATTAAATATTGGATGGATTTTTCTCCAATTTGAATTTCTGATAGTTTTCTACAGTGACTTTATACGTGACTGTTTAGGTTAGGTTAGGTTAAGATATGTAAGGTGAGGTTAAGTTTCAGTGTTGATCACTTCCAAGTAGAAATACCAAATGTTTGTGATGCCCAAACTACTCGTTACGAAGCAAAAGAGTTCAGAAAGCTCCTTTTCATAGATTAGTTTTAAAATTGATACAGAGGGGAGGCGGCGATCTGCCTACATCAAGTCTTGTCGATTGTTTTTCTAACAGAAGAAAGATGTAATTCGTTCATTGACAATGGAATAACCAAGTCAGGGTTGAAATTATCAAATACATACGTATTTGTTTTTCATCATCCCTTGTCTATGAACTGCTTCGAAATACATGTATCGCTATCCTCTTTTGTCTAAAATAACAGGTTTTAACAAAGCCGATCTTTCCTCCTTCCATTATATGAATGAGGAGTCAATTGACAGAATATTTCTTTACAAGATTCCTTGCTGAAAAATTCGTTGTAAAAAAGTTGTGATTTTTCGTCCTCTATGACTTTTTACTACCATTTTTGCTGGAACCATTTAGCTTTCAGCCCGTTGATACTGAATTTGGAAGCTTCAAAGTCAAAATAAAGACCAATGATACCTTTGGTATGTAAACCACCGAATATAAATATTTTTTCTTAGTAGTAAACCGGGATAGTGTTCTCGGTATTTTCATGACTAAAAATTCAATTAAACCATTTATGGGTACACTTAATCTTTAATCACCATCTTATATGTTATATTTTTATTCGAAAATTTCTCAGCTGCTTCGTAATCTGTTCAGTAGAAACACACAAAAAATCTTGTATTATATATCTATATACATATTTCATTCTTAAATAACTTACTGACATATTTTTTCTTTCCTCCCATAGACCGTCAGTCAAGAGGACAATGACCCCAACGCGCGTAATCCAATGCTTTATGATCCGTTGCAGGATGGTGCGGTACGAACCTCCAAAAAGATGCAATATGTTGCAGCGCTGATTGGTAAGTGCATACATATATAAGAAAATATGGTGTAATGAAGTATTCTAATCTAAAATAAAATAAAAGAAAAAATATTAAAAATTTCGTTAAAATTTAAAATTTATTATATTATAAATATCATTTAATAAATAACTTTTCCTTATTTCCTTAAATTTCCCACAGTTTGCCTCGGTGCTGTAGCTGCTGGTACAGCATTAGCATGGACATCGCCAGTGTTGCCACAAATAAGCGCACCAACTGTTGAAGTAAGCAAGGACACAAACGCCACCATTACCAATACGACCACAACCACAACAACGCCAGCGACGCCAGCAGCGGATTCATCAGGCTTGCAGCTGACGCTCGAACAACGTAAGTTCTCTTTGCTGTTGTTATTAGTACATTTTTAATTGAAATGCATTTTTGAATAATGAGTTGGGGCTAAGTAGCTTTTAATTTCTAATTGATTAATTTTCCTGTTAATTGCGGTCGTTAAAGTGAGCTTTTTACAATTGAGTCGCATATACTTACCTGCCATTCATAACGCCGTCAACGGTAGCCTTCCACGTTTCAATTCCTACACTCTAAAAACACTTGTTGACGGGTTTGTGCTTGTGGCGCTGCCATTGATACTAAAATGCAATCATTCTGTTTACTTTCATCTCCTCGCGACGCTTAGCCCTGTACTGCTGTTGAGCGCGTGGCGCCTTTCACTGTCTCGGTCGAGGTTGTAAATAAACAAAGGTTTTTGATTTCAATTGATTTATAGCCGCACTACAGGTAAATAGTACTGTGACCTATAAATATATTGCATTAGGTAAATTAGAAATTCAATTCATTTCAACGGTGATACGCGCTTTTACGTAATGTAGAAGAAAGAGAAAAATACGAGTTTTCTTGCAACTGACGTTGGCTAACCAAGACTCTGCGGGTTCACCTATGAATTTTTATTGTTATTCTGATCAAGCATGAATATACATATGTATATGTGCATATATAATATATCTAGAAACTGAGAAGTGAGAAGAAAAATTTTAAGGGACCAATCCTTTGCCAAAACGTAAATTTCACCTTCTATAAATACTTGTAAATGCTCAATAAATTACGTAAAAAAGATATTAGACTCTTGATAGTAGTAGACTCTTTTTTCTCCGCAGAAGACACAAGGAACAGGAGACAGTTATAGACAGTTTTTATGCTTTTGATATTTCCTTCCATGATTGTAATTTTCGTGGAAAAGCCATCACCGATGTAGAAATACTGAGAAGTATCATAACACTCTTTGACGTTTCGATAACTGCTTATATCAAGAGACATGACCTGATCCGCGATCTATAATGTTCGCTTTCATTCAAAAATATTAGCTAATCTACAGCCGATTTTAGAGATTTTCTACTAAAAATATAGGAACCCTTTCTAATAATATTGATAGCATGTATGGTATTTAACTTTTTTTATAGAAACCTGGGTCAGTTCGTTGGTTGCGATTGGTGCCTTCTTTGGAGCTTTGCCCACCGGATATATAGCTGATGCGATTGGCAGACGTTATACCGCGCTGGTTATGGATGTGCCCTTTATTGTGGCATGGTTGGCGATTATCTTCGCCAAATCGGCTGGCTGGCTGTACTTTGGACGTTTCGTAATTGGTAAGTGATCACGAAAATACAAATCAAAAAGCATTTGACTAATTACATTACTTGCTTGTAGGTGTTTCGACTGGTAGCTTCTGTGTAGTTGCACCTATGTACATTTCCGAGATTGCAGAGACGAGCATACGCGGCACGCTGGGTACACTTTTTCAATTGCTGTTGACCTTCGGTATTCTTCTGGTTTATCTTATTGGTGCTGTGGTTTCGTGGACCACACTGAGCGTGCTCTGTCTGATGGTGCCTATTGCTTTGTTCATTGGTATGCTAATACTACCGGAGACTCCCACCTATTTGTTGAAGAAGGTATGCAGTGCTGTGCCTTTACTTTAAAAATGTCATGATAATTCTATTTGGTCTTCTATTCAGGGCCGTCGTGGCGATGCTGCTTTGTCACTGAAATGGCTTTGGGGTCGTTATTGTGACTCACGTTCGGCTATACAAATGATACAAACCGATTTGGATCAGGCCGGCGCCGACGCCTCGTTTTTGGATCTCTTCCGCAATCGTGCCGCCCTCAAAGGTCTTATCATCTCCATGTTGCTGATGTTCTTCCAACAGTTTTCCGGCATTAACGCTGTCATCTTCTATACCGTGCCCATCTTCCAGTCGGCCGGCAGCACTTTGGATCCTTCAGTTTGCTCAATTATTGTCGGTTTCGTGCAGGTCGTTATGACATTAACATCTTCGTTTCTGATCGAGCGGGCCGGCCGTAAAGTACTTTTGCTTTTTAGCAGCGCCATGATGACCATTTGCCTCGCCATTTTGGGTGTTTACTTCCAAATGAAGGATGGTGGTAAGGATGTGTCGTCAATTGGTTGGCTACCATTGCTTTGTGTTGTGCTCTTCATGATCGTCTTCTCGATCGGTTATGGTCCCATACCATGGCTGATGATGGGTGAGCTCTTCCTGCCCGATGTTAAAGCCACGGCTGTGGCGTTGACTGTCATGTCTAATTGGTTCTCAGTCTTCGTGGTGACCAAGTGCTTCGGTTCGATGATTACCGCCTGGGGTTCGGACATGACTTTCTGGTTCTTCGGTTTTTGTACGCTCGCCGCGACACTATATGTGGCATTCATGGTGTTAGAGACCAAGGGACGCAGTTCTGCTCAGATACAAATGTGGCTTGGTGGCAACAAATAAGGAAATTAGGTATCAGAAGTAATGTAGAAATACTATTACTGTTTGTTTTTAGGGTTTTAGTATTGTAAGTTTGTAAATAAACGGTTAAGCTGAAGACAGTTCATTATTAGCTCGACCAGGTGTCGGATATTCGCTCAATTCGAGTTTAAACGAGTAACGAAATAAAATATACGTGTGTATATGTGTGTACTTCCGTTATCGTTTATAAACAGTTTATTTATAATTTACAATTATGTATTTTCATATAAGTAGTATTAATCTATTATAATTGATAAATATTTTATGCTTGTACAATTGTGCCCAGTCTTACATTAAAGAGATTTCTTTGTAGATATATTAATTAATTTTAGTTTTTGTTATTAATGGAAGAGCTGCGGTAAAAATAGTGAACCATTGTTATGTAATAGTCGTTTTATTGCCCTCAATACAATGTAGTAGATAATAATACTTTGTAGTAGCAGTCCTATATTTTTAAGCGTGTGATCCTATATAAATATATTTCTGTAGCACTAAATAAAGCTAATTGATACCAAAAATTATAAAAGGGGGCTTTTGAGTTTTATTCTTTAATTGATATATTGTTTTTTAGTACAGGAAAATTAAGTCGAAGGACTCTTAATTCGTCGAGTCTCAGCGTATATGGGAAAAAAAGCTGAACCAAATATCAAGGAATAGTATCTTGAGAAAGATCTTACATATGATTCATACATATTCTAAATTCATACGAAAAAATATTTTTTTTCAAAGTTATGGTCATTCATATTATACTGTGTCTGAAAAAGTGTTTTTGCAAGAAGTTATTCTTAGTTACTTAAATATGATGAAAAAAAAAGTCGAAAGTCATGGTATTTTGGTGGAAGTTTATGATGAACATACTCTATCTGAGCGCCACTTGCGTGTTTTAAAAGTGGTGATTTTGAAGAACGAAAGAGTTCTGTGCGGCCAAAGAAGTTTGAAAATGAGGAGCTGGAAGTATTGCTCGATGAAGATTGTTGCCAAACACAATAAGAGCTCGCAGAATCTTTGGGAGTCTTTCAAGCAGCCATTTGAAATGTTTAAAAGCAGTCGGATTTATTCGAAAGCAATGAAATTGGGTGTCATATGAATTGAAGCCAAGAACGCTACAAAAATAAGTCGTCTACAACAGCATAATCTGTTATGAACTTCTAAAACCGGGTGAAACCATGAGAAGTTTGGCCTCACCTGCCTTATAGTCCAGATTTTGTCCTTTGTGACTACCATTTGTTTCGGCCGATGCAGAACGTCCTCACTAGAATACGGCTCACATCAGAAAAGCGTATAAAAAAATTGGCTTGATTCCGTCTGCACCGCCAAACCGGCGCAGTTCTGTTGGGATGAAATCTACAAATTGCCAGAAAGATGGAAGAATTGTATAGTTTTAGTTGGGCATTACTTTGAATAATGCTATTGTACATGTTTTTTTAAAATAATTTGAATGAAAAATCGCCAAATACATTGTATAATCATAAACAACTTTTACAAAAATTAATTTTTTCCCCATTTAAATTTTTCATAATACTGATTGTATAAATTTAATTTATTTTTAATTTCATATAAAATTTCAAATTTAATTCTTTTAATTTTCTTTAATTTTTTTTACAAACCATTTTGCTGCTATACCCTATGTGCATGCGAGTTTGTTTATGTGAGTGTGCGCCAAAACCAAATTTTTGGTTTGCTCAAAAGTGTCGATTTGCACCAGGCGCTCATGAATGCCGAGTATGTGGCTGTCACATTTTGTTTTGTCGCGCTGGTAGTAATGACGCATACACATCAGATAGATAGATAAAGTGTTGCCTAAACACAGGCACCGAAACTTAAATTTTTCAAATGAACGCCCTGTTGCGTGCAAAGCACTAGTTATTGTGTAAAGGGCCACAAAAAATAATTTATATTTTTTTACTAAAAAATTTGGAAAAAATATTTCTAATAAATGAACACACATTTTTTTTTTAATTTTTTAATAATTCGATATTTATTTAACTAGCCAAGTTTTTGCATATAATTTCGCACTTCAACCCATTTATATACAAAATTTTTGTTTGTTATATACATACATACTCTAAATTATCCTAACTACTATTTTAGTTATAGTTATATGCATTATTATTTATTTATACACTTACAATATTAACGTTATTTACAAATATTGATTATTCTATAAATATTTTCTAAGCAATGCACAGTGGTTCGGCTTGTGTGTGAGCCGCGGCCATAAATATAAACTTTTAGATGTGTTATCATTTTGAAATTTTCACCAAAAATCTGCATTGCAACAAATATTATGAAAAGCACGGCACAACAAAATTTATATCTCAGTATAATGTGTTTAGTAAAATATTTTCCCTTTTCTTTCCCAATATATTTCCAAAGTCAAATTGCAGCAAGACGGCGCGCAACGTCTATATTTTAGGTACAAATTACTGTTATTTAAGTTTAGATATTGTTGAAACATGTTGCTAATTATTATTTTTTTGTTGTTGGAATTTAGGTTTTCGATTATTTCAATAAATTTTCGTTTTCAACATTCGCACTAAAAGTAGCACGCTTTGCAACATTTGCTTAAGCAACATGTTGGAGAATTCATTACGCTTGTCAAATAACGCAACAAGGTTATTGAACATTGCTGCTGTTTTTGGGATTTTTTGTATTCTTCTACTAAGCGGCCGTTTTAAATTTTTAATGGCATTTTGTTAACAGAACAAAATTATATAATTTTTATAGAAAAATAGTTCTGATTGTAGAAAAAGGATTTAACTAAATTTACATATTTCGTTTTTTATTGCAATTTTTAATCTAGTTAATCTACACTAAATATTTTGTATGCACATTTGTGTATACTAAGTTACTATCGTCTCATGTTGATCACATAAATATAGTTTTTAAATTATTTAACTTGTTTAATAAATTTGTTCCTCTACAAAAACAATAACAAGCAGATGAGAGCATTAGTTTGTTGTTGTTGCTGTATTAGCAAAATTTTGCTTAAAATACAATAGTTCTTTACAGTGCAAGCTGACAATAAGTGTCTTTCATTCATAAAGTTTTTTAGAAGCATTTTTTTGCTTTCTATATTTTTCTTGATAGACTCAACATTTCAGGTGTTAAGTACATACCACGAAAATTTTAATGATCAATATTATGCCTACTCTTTTCACGCTTTCTAGTAACTAATGACTATAAAAAAATGTACTTCAACCTAAAACATATACTATATATTCATACGCGAAAAAGTAACCATTACATTCAACAGCTGCAATTTACAAGTACTTATCTATTAATATATACATACATACAAATTCATAATAATAAATATGAATATTTAGTACGTACTTAATTATTTTATTACAATACATACATTAACAGTACAAAAGCTAATTTTAGATTACTTTATGTTGAGCTTAACTTAAGGTCGATTACTTAATGGCAACATTTCGTTACATACAAACATATATATGTATAATAAATCGCAACATATTTTCGTTCGGTAAATGAAAAGTTTCATAGAAAACTTTTACAAACTGAATATCTGTATGTGTTGGCAGCTAGGTAATGCAATTATTTAACATTACACATATTAGTATTATGTTTTACTATCATATGTTACAGAACTTATGAGTCAAGGTATTTAGTTGATTTTCCTAAACTATTTCAGTTTGGCATTGTATGGGTTATTTTTATTAGCATTGTTTTCTGCTCCATTTTCTCTTTACAAATGAGCCACCTTGAAAAGAGTAGCAGCGGAGAAAAATTAACATATTTTTAGTAAATTTGTAATTTTTTAATTTAACTTTCTAATTGGATTTACTACATTTTCTCTGCTCTCCAGCTGCTCATATGTGTTTACTAAGCAAACTAGCTTATTTAAAAGTTCTCGGAAATTTTTGCTGATTTTCAAAATCATCTAATTTTACAGCTCCGTTGTGGTCTCAACCTCTGAACGATCTAAATCATTTAAATAAGAGAAACCTAATTGTCCATAGTCACGTTTGCCGAAAGTGACATTTTCATTGGTGGTACTTATGTGACTCAGGTCACCGTTTGATCTGAAAGTAAATCAAGTAAATATTTTTAAAATTACAAAAATATATATAAATATTTGCAATATAAATGAAGAAAAAGACAATAAAAAAAAACTCATATAAAAATTTAAGGTATTGCATAGGTGAAATAATATATAAATATTGCCTACATTTTGGCGCCGTCATATAAAAAAGTATCTATCAAGGTCTGTCAAACTCAAATTATAAGTATATTATTTAATTGAAAAAATTTGTTTGCTAGTAATTTACACTAATTCGAGTAAAGTTGTTTAATAGATAGCCTTTTAGTATATTTTTTTAAATATATTTAAATTATTGAATTTTGATAAAAATCCTACAGATCCTTATAAAATTATTTTATACTGTACTAGGATTGCCTTTACACGATTTCAAAAAAGCTATTTTCTTACTTATTACAAAAGTACAAAAGTGCTTATTTAAAAGAAATAAAATTAGGTGGCAACATCATACATATTTATGACAATAGTCTTTTGTATGTTACGCATTTCGTGCCTATTCACTGGTGCGATTGATGAGCTTGTCGAGGTCTTCAGCTCTGTATGTTGGACTACTCTTGCAAGCTCCTATCCTCTGAAAAGTCAGAAAGCCAAAGGGAAGCCCCGTTGGTTAACATCGGAGCTAACAGAGATCAGATCTTCGAGTATTAGACTTTTCTAAAAATCCGTAAAAGTGGCTCTAGTGACGATTGCGCGCTGGCTATATACAAGTCCGAGATATAAAAAGCCAAGAGAGCCTTCTTCGAAAAAGTAGAGACTGTAAGCTCTCCAACAATCTTAGCTTAGGCTACAGGACCCTTGGACCTTGTTTTTCAGGCAGAAGTGGCAGCTATTAAGGTGTCTATAGACGTACTGCTACGAAGTGCAGTTATATGATCTAATTATTCAACTTATTATATTTTTTAATTTAGGGGACAACTCTACAAAATAATATAAACATTTATGATTGCTACTTAAGCTGCACAATCAGTTAAAAATATGTATGGTATTTTAAATATGATGTTTAGTTTAATTCACCCCCTCAAGCATAGTACTTTGCTTTGCCTTTAATACCATTCTACTACTCAATATTTCATTACAAACAACTTACCGTTGAAAGAGCGGGTTTGTTATTGGCACGTCCGCGTAGCCGCGACTGTTGTGGTGATGATGCTGATGATTGTTGCGTCCCAGCGTGTTTGTCATCAATTCCCCAACATTCCCACTACCGTCAGCCACACCGGCATTCAAGCTGTTTAGACCATTTGGTCCACCAAATGTATTTCCCCGCCGACCCATTGTGCTGTAGCTATTATTCTGCAGGTTCGCCAGGTTATTCCGACTTACAGCGTCCAGCTTGTAGCCACCGTTCTGATAGTGGGTGGCGCCATTTTGGTGCTTTAAACGACCCAGTGTCAAGGTGCCGGGCAGCGTGCCATTCGCGGCCGCCGCTAGTGGGTTTGCATTGTTGCGCGCATTCATTTCCAGCGTGCGATTGAATGTGTTCTGACGATTATTCATACCATTCATGTTGTTGTTGTTATTGTTATTGCTATTATTATGCGTCATATTATTCAGATTGCTGTTGTTATTGTTATTGCGACGCAATGTGGTGATAGTGGCGGTAGTTGCATCCGAATGCGATGGACTCGCCTGACCGCCGCTTGTGCCGTTCTCCTTGTGTGTAATGTAACTGACGTTGTCCAGCGAGAAAGCGTGATTCTTGGCGCTAAAGTCTAGCTGCAGATCATCATCGCCATCTGGCGGCACAGCCATGGCCAGCACTTGTGTCTCATACTCTTTCATATTGGCGACGGTATCGCCAGAGTTGGCGGCTTGCGAATTGACAATAACCGGGTCATAGCGCGTTGGACTTGGTGCGGCGTATTGGCGCATGCGCTGTTTGAAGTTCTTGTATCTGTGATGAAAGGAAAAAGAAAGAAAAGTTTTAGTTTAAAATAGTAAGTTACTTTCGTTCGAACTCACTTCGACCATGAAATGCAAATGTAGATGATGCCGATTGTGCCCAGTATGAGTATGATTATCGAGATGGCAATTAGCGTGTAGGGAAATACGTCATCGTTGATCGCTATAGCTGCTTTAACCTGTAACAAAATATTAAATACAATTTAATAAGAGCTTGTGACCACTTCCAATCGCTGCTTACCCTGGTCACCTGTTGTTTCATCTCAATAGGCGCGTATATGCCCTCGGCGGTGGCATGCGCCACGCCCGACGCGGCGAAGTTAAGCTCAGCGCGCGCTGTCGGCTCCAACAATGCCTCACGCACTGTGGTATCGTTGCGCGCGAGTATCTGTTCTGTTTTGGGATCGATTAAGTAGAACCAGACATCTGTTGCGCCGGGATTCTCAACGATGGTGCCGTTCTCTGTCAAGATTTTGCGATTACTAAAACGCTCTATTCCGGATATGAGCCCTTTGGTCTTCTCTTCCAACAGCTCTTCCAAAGCGGTATAATGATTGCGTATCTCTTTTGGTGCCGAATCGGAGAAGACTAAAGACATGCGATGCTGATCCGTTATCTGATTGATTACAATGCGTGCGCGTGTGTGATGTGAACCCAGCTCTTGGCCGTCGTTATCGCGTGCTTCCACATAGAACATCATGGGGAAATTAGCGCTATCTTGGAAGAGTTTTGCTGTGTGCAAGATTCCGGTATCTTCGGTCATGACGAAGTAGGTTGTGGGCTGTGAGTTGAGAGAGAGAAAGAGATGGAGTTTATTATAGGTATTGTTCAAAAGTATTATTAATGTTACTCACCAAATTCTCATCGCTAATTACATTGTCCTCTTCATCGTAGATCTTATAACGTATCATGCCATATTTACCGGAATCACGATCGGTGGCGCGCACTTGCAAGATCGGTGTGTCTATGTCCACTTCGGGCGCCACCACCGCGTAGAAAGTGTCTTTGCGCGTCGGATGCGCACGATTGAAAATGAACTCGGGCGCATTGTCGTTTTCATCCTGTACAATAATTTTTACCAAAGCCATACTCCTCTGAGGATTCACGAAGTATTTATGTGAAATGAGGCGTATGCTCAGCGAGTAGGCAGTGGTGTTCTCAAAATCGAGGTGCTTTATCAATTTTACGCCACAACCGTGATCTTCGGTCATTATATCGAAGTAGTCCATATCATTACCGTTAACTATTTCGCACTTAAAGCTTGGCGTGCCGTCGCGCGACTTCTTTGAATTAATAACTTGTATTACTTTAATAGTAGCATTGATTCCGGTGGTTTCGGGTACGCCAGTAGTATAACTATCGTCGCTGAAAGCCAAACCTATACTTTCTGGACTCATTATGGCACCGTCATTCACTTTACCCTCCATCATATTACTCTCATTCGGATCGATCAGCAGATGACGTACGAAGACCGGCAAAGTTGCGACGGAACTCAGCTGTGGTTCACCCATGTCGTAGGCGCGTATATCCACCTGATACTCGGTGTCCTCCTCCTTGCGCAGATCATCTCTTATGCGCACGGTACCAGAATCGGCGTCCACTTGGAAGTACTTCAACGCCTTACCGCGTCCGACCATCTCGTATCGCACCACATTACCTGGCGAAGAGCCATCACCATCTATAGCCGCCATTGTTGCTATACGCGTGCCGATCGATTGATCGTCATTTACCGTAACAGGCTCTGGTAGAGCTGCAAACACCGGGCGCACATCATTGCGATCGTCAACTTCGATCAAAACACGTATCGTGTCACCGGGTCCATCACCATCATTTTCAATAGTGCCGACAATAAGTTCATGCTGCTTCTTCTTTTCATAATCCAATCCAGTGGTGGTCCGTATTTCACCTGTGTGTGGCGACAGCTTAAAGAGATCCGACGCACCTTTGCGTATCACGTAAGTGATCTGTTGTACCGTATCCGGATCGAAAGCTTGTACGGTTGCTACCAAGTAGTCGGCCTCATTTTCGGGCACATGCACATCAATGCGTGCATCAGTAAACTTTGGCACCTCATCGGGTAGATCACGCACCTGCACTGTAACGCTCGCCGTACCGAGGCGGGCATCTGGCGCACCATCCTTGGCGGTAACTACGAATCGGTACTCCTTCTGGCGTTCATAGTCCAAAGGAGCGGCAGTGCGTATCTCGCCCGACTTGCCGTCGATGTTGAAGGGTATGTCTTGTGGCACGGAGTAAGTGATCTCGGCATTGATACCCTCGTCTGCGTCTGTAGCATGTACAATGCCCACAAAAGCATCCTTTTGGCCTTCATCCACTTCAAATACATATGGTAGTGTAGACTCATCGAACTCGGGATTTTTGTCATTGATATCGGTTACTTTGATGTTTACCGTAGCACTGCTCGATAGACCGCCATTATCTTCGGCTATCACGATAAGTTGATAGCGTGTAAGACTTTCACGATCTAATTTACGTATCACCATAATGACACCACTCTCTTGACCCACAGCAAATTGCCGCAAATCGTTACCCGAAACGATTGAGTATACCACCGGATCATTCTCAGGATCTTCGGCATGCACCACCGTCACGGTAGAATTGATCTCAGCACCTTCGCTTACTTGTGCCTCATAGATGGGTTTAACGAACTTTGGTGGTTTCGTATTCGGTCCAGGCGTTACGGCGATTTCAACAATAGCTTGCGACGAGAGCCCACCATTATCCGTGGCCTGCACTGTTATGCTATACTGTTCGCCAGCCAATAAGCGACCTCGTGCCTCTATCTCACCGGTCTTCTCGTCAATGTGGAACTTCTGTTGTCCATTATTGGATACATGATAGATGGAATATGTGATTATGGCATTTTCACCTTCATCATTATCGGTCGCAATCACCCTAGTGACATTTCGTTGGCCATCGCCTGCAGTAATTGTGATTGGTGGCACCATTGCCAGTTTGGGTGGGTTGTCATTCACATCACGCAGGTGCACGGTTAAGCTGAGTGGCGCACTGGCTGCATTTGTGCGCGGTTCACGTGCAACTACTTGGAACTTGTAGCGTCCTGGCGCTGGTGGATCGCGATCCAATCCCTCCTCATTGACAATCAAAATACCGTCCCTTGTAACGTCGAAAGATGGCGTCGTCAGCTCGTAAATATAGTCGGGCTTGGGATCATCTTCACCCAAATCTGCGTCTGTGGTCTTAAAGGAGATTGAACGACCATTTGCATCAACAACACGTGTGCCGATCGGTGAGTTCTCATCAACATAGCCGTCAATATCGCTGGCACTTATAACCGGTGGATTAGCATCAACGGGCTTCACATTGATCGTCAACTTGGCAGTGGTAAAGCGCTTTGTCATCGAAACTTCTTCGGCTTTAACGATAATATCATATTTTTTGGCTGTTGACGTATCCACTGCTTTGATCTGCTTCAAAACGCCCGTCTGCTCGTCGATCTCAAAATAATCGCCATAATTGCTTGGCATGCCGCTGGCGAAGGAGTAACGTATCGGCGAGCTGATCGTGTCTAAGTCAACGGCCTGTATACGTTCCGGCGTAACGGTAAGCACACCTTGCAGTGACCCAGCTGGCACTGAGGCGGAGTACTCGGGGTTTATACAGGCGCCATCGAGCAGCACGCAACCGCGATAAATAAATGAAGGATCCTGATCATCCGAATCGGCTACGTTCACCGTCAGTGTGGTGGTCGAGGAGAGGCGCTCCGAAACGTTGCGTGCGCGGTCCTAAAAAGGGAGAATATATATATATATATATCTTATATATGAATGGGTGTAAATTAGCGCGTTTTAATCGCGATAAATGTCAAATTCAGCGACACAAACTTGTAAATAGTAATAAGTGCACAATTAAAATGTAAATGCCACGTTCGTTTCGCAAATGGCATTTGTCGCTAAATAACCGTCACTTTATGACCATAAAATAACCTGTCGCGCAGACAATATAATTAAGCAGTTTAGCTGCGACGCTCGTCGCCGCGTCGGCTGTGCCAGAGAGCGGGTGTAGTTTCTTAAACGATTTTTTCTTCTAGTTATTGTTGTTGTGGTGCAGCGCGTATTTGCTTATTTCCTTGCACGGACAAATGCAATTTAAATAATTGCGCGCATGCGCAATGCTATAAATTTAGTTTTGCCGTTTGCTTGTTATGGCGACGCGTTGCTAGAATGGCACCTTTTGACCATGGCTCCGCGCGGTGGCGCTGCTTAGTCGGCACATTGAAACCCAACCGAACAACCAACCAGCAGCCCAAAAGTGGCCGCCAGTGGCGCGTCTAATCAATACTTGTCGTGGCCATTTTTAGCGTGCGCTTTCTTGCTTAAGCTGGTTCATTTAATTGTCTTTGCTGTTGTTGTTGCAAAACGAGAATAGTGGTCACTAGCCATTTTCTGAGTAGGTTTGTCTTTTGACTGCGTTAATTGAATGCAATTTTTCCAGCTTAGTGATTCTAAATTGTCTGTTTTTGGGCATTAGAATTAAACGTATTCAGCAATTGGTTTAAAGGTGAAATTATGTTGACAATGTGATTTTTATTGTTGAATTTAGGTTTGAGACACAGACTTTTATGTGTAAAAGTGACATTATGTGGAAGAACTGAGAGAAGCGATTTTGAAAATATCTGCTGATTTCAAGAAGTAAAAAGTTTTGAATAAATCTAATTTTTGTAAAAATTTTTTCCTCACTTTCCTTGAGAAACTTTATAGTTTATTGACATAAACTCATCATTCTTAAGATGATTGTCATAAAATTTAGTGCTTTTCTATAGTCTTCACTATTTCAGATATACATATGCGTAAAGACTATGCCGTTAGTTTTTGGTTTTATCAATAATACTTCATAAGTAACTCATCTTAAAGTAAATATTGTGAAGAATCATTTGAATGTAAGTAATTATTTAGATAGCATTTGAAAGTGTTTTGAAAAAATATTCTGTGACGGATTGCTTAGTCAACTTATGACATAGAAATTTTATGAAAATCCTAAAATGATTAAACTTATAAGAGCATATTAGGTACATCAAAGAATTGCGGTTGAGCAAATCAGCTTTTGAAATCAAATACAAAATGCTTGTAGCAGAAAAAGAATGAAAGGAGCTATATAAAAGAGAACTAACTAAAATTTGTTTCATTTAATGTCTCAGGTTGGGACTAACTTGCGAAATGAAAGCGAGCACCAAACACCTTGAAACTTGACTTTACTTGGAACCTCAAATTCAATAAAAAAAGTCTGAAAGAAAGAAATTTGAAAGTTGATCCTGGAACTTAGTTTAATTTCCGAACATCTCCCTAATTTTAATATACCCTCCATAATCGCCTGATCTATCATCATGCCACTATTTTCTATTTCCAAAACTGAAAAGCAACGTTAAAAGAAAATTTTATGATGATATCCCAACCATTTAAGCAGTCGTAACCAAGGTGCTGAAGAACATTCCTATAAATGACATAAAAAAACTATGCATTTGTTGGTTGATCGTTCCAAACATTGCATCGATGCTAATTGAACCTATTTTGAATATAGATTAGAACATATCGTCAAATTTCGAAAATTTCGTAAGACGTAAAAACCGTAGAAGATACTTGAAAGAATTAATAGTTTCATGAGGTTGCAAGTAATTCTAAACGCTATGATAAATTTTCTGATATATATAATACCTGTGAAAAATTAACTCATGAAAAAAATTAGATTTGCTGTAAAGTATCTGTACTTAATATCTACAGTGAACATTACTTTATAGCCGTGTAATTTTTCGTAATCTTTCGTCAATTTAAAATTGTATTAGTCATCGAAGCAAAAGTGCTAAAGCAGAGATTAGTGTTTGTAAACATTGTATGAATACAGTAAACTCCGCTACATCAAATTTTAATATTCTAACTTCAAAAACTACAAATATAACAAAGTTATTTCACACATATCACCCATCCTGAGTCCAAAAGCAACATTAGTGCCACATTTTAAGCACCATAAACGAATTAACGCACAAAAATAGCTTAAATAATAAGATTTTACTTAAAAAAATAAAAGCTGTATTATATAGTTGCAGTCAATGAAAGTGAATTTTCTTGCATAAGCTGACATTAATTGTGTAATTCTCACCCATAACCCCAAATTCGCGCCATTTTTGGCTTCTAACTTGACGGTTGAACAAACGTCATGCATGTGTGTATGTATGTATATAGAAACACTTGGATATAATTTATGTTTTATAGCTTTGCTTATGCACAGTGAAAATTTCTGTCATCTCTACATAAACTAGCGGTCACACACACATGCTTACATAAACACCTAAGTCTGGTCAAATGTTACAGCTGTTACAACTGTTAGTTTATTTATTTTTTGTTAGGTTACGAAAATGTGTGTATGTGTGCGATTTGCTGGCGTATGAGAGCAAACATATGTGTTTGTTGCACTTTTGTGTTGTTGTTGTTGTTGCAGCTTGTGACATGCGGAAATTGTCGTCATGCGAATAATGTGCACTGTGACTCTTGAGTGCATTGTAGTTGACATTTATTGCTGTTGTAGACAATTATTTGTAAATTTTTTGTTGCTTTTTTGTGTATCACCACAGCGTGGCAAAAACTATGTAATTTCTGCAGATTAAAAGAAAGGTAAAAAACCAAACGTAGTTTACTGCTCACACCTACATGAACACACGCTTACATACACTACTAATACTTAATCCGTGGAAGTAATCGATTTTCAAAGCGCAATTTGAAAATGTTTTTCATTTTTGACAAGAAGCTAAATTTTTTTTTTGCAATTTCGAAACTTTTGATTTTCATAGCGAGTAATTCGTTTTGTGTGCTGTTGCGCGCTGTTGTAATATCCGACACTTCTTTGCAAAAATGTATTTTTCATTTTCGCAGGCGCATACTTTTAGTTCGATTTGCGATTAAGGAAAATACTGTGAGTTTCATGCGCAGTTGAAAGCATGGATCAACTAACACAAATGTCAGCTTATATAAAAAACCGCATTGTGAAGTTTTGTGTGTGTAAGTCATCGTTGAGTGCATTGCGCGCACGTAAATTCATTACAACCCGCATGTTGCTAAAATTGCAAATGAGTGGATTAGCGTTGACTGTTTGTTGTTGTTGCTTATTTTCATGTAAATTACCACACTATTTGCCATAATGTGTGTGTGGTTGGTTGCATTGGATTATGTAAAATATTCATCAATGCATTAATCGCATGCGAGCGCAGCTTGAGAACGAATTGCCAAGCGAAAATATTTCCAAATCCAAAGACTTAAGGCACGAACCCGGCCTTTGTTATTTAGTTTTTTAAATGCTAATTGGTAGTAAGATTTGGTTGTTGTTTTCAAGTTTTAAAATTATGTAAAAAATAGTATTAAGTAGCAATTTAATTACAAAACATATTTGGAATTTTTCAAGAATTTTTATGTTAAAACTATTTGAGGTTAGAATGTAATATATATATATTAATTCGCCGTTCAAAGTGTTTCGATTACTGTTTTCACAATTTTTTCAAATTATTTTTATAATCGTATTCCATTTCAAAAATATAAATGTTTTATTAATTTTTTTTTACTGAAGTTCAAGGTTTTATGTATGCAACGATCTTCCAGAATAATAAAAAAAATTTACATATAATTCTGAAAAAATTCATTGAGACAGTATTCAATACCAACAATATATTTGATGAAGCATAAGTAACTATTACCCAGAGTAATATTTTCTCATCTAAGATCACCTAGCCTAAGCAGAAAACAATTACAAAATGAACTCAGCAAAAATATTGTGCGGTTCAATTAATGTTCTGCCATTAGTTAAGTGTCTATTCAATTTCAATAAGTTTAAAAATCTCAATAGTGCCTTACAACAACACAATACTTGAGTAAATGTTCATATTTACGACTGAACGTGTTACTTAATTTACAATCAACACTCACTTTGGCAAAACGCAATTTAGCTGCCAACAGAAATTGAAAAGAATAATATATAGAAAAATACATATTTATTTAAAAGTAATAGAGAACGACAAAAAAAATATAAGTCAAGTATTAAAGAACCGAAAAAAGACAAAGGCAATCTAAAGAACAAATTCTATGAAATATAACGTCACACTTGTGTATAATAAAAATATAGGTACGTGTGTGCGTGTCATCATCTGCGCGTGCATTTCACATAGTTGAAAGCCGTCCAACACACATTTGTCAGCATTACCTTAATGATGCTGCCGTGCTCCATTGTGGCTGTTACTAAATGTGGCTTTGTAGAATGGACGGCCGCTTCATTATGGACTGGCTTTTGAAAGCTCTAAAAAATGAGTTTGTGGCGAATAGACAGGTGGCGGATGTGGTATTTATTGATATATAGTAATATGTATATTTTAATTTTGTTATATAGTTATGTATATGTATGCACATTAGGGTGGAGCTTAGCCTGAGGGCAAAATCTGTAGATTATAAAAAAAAAAAATTGTTTGAACAAACAAAAAATTTTTTAACATCTCAGTTGTAAAGTAAATTTCGAGTTATACTTTTTTTTGACAAAAAAAACTTATTTTTGGCTTAAACTTTTTATATTTATATTATTACTGAATATGACGGTTTTTGACTCCAAATTTATTTTAACGCTTTATGAAAGCATGTAGTCGTTTAGAAAAAACTCCAATGATGATTTTAAGTTGATAACTTTTAATTGGCCTGAAAGAGTACTATCCACAGCTTCTCGAACAGTTCTCAAACAATTTTTTTTTTGTCCAAAAA